GAATCCATTACATTCACTTACGTTCTAATACCCTTGTGAAAGGTATGAATCCTATTCTCCCTCCAGCTATGGGTAAAGACAGACTGGCTTCTATAGCCTTGGATGGCAACTGGTCTAGGAGAAGGACAACTCTGAATTCAAAACCTGCGGAGGATCGTTTGAGGACCTTGTTGCATGTAGTGCACCAGGTCTCTGTATTCAACCCTTCAAAAAGTATGGATGGTCCTGCACAAAACCTTCACCACTATAATCAGATCCCATGTGCTGGTGTCTGGGGCTGTCGGTTCCTAGGAACTGAGCTGCTTGACCCTCATACGTCGAAATCGACGAAAGAGTCGAGTATATATATACGTAAACGTTGACAGTTTACGTTATATATATATATATATATATATATATATATATATATATATATATATATATATAAAGATATTTTTGTAGGTACAAAATTTAATGATCGAAATAAAAGTGTAAAATTTAATATTACAAGACATATTAAAACAATATTAAATAATAAAAAAAACACTCAACAACAAGGGGGTGGAAGCAACCGGTTTCGCTCCCGCTCATCAGGCTTCCACGGGAGATTCAAAATTAAAACAGAGAAAGGTACAATCAGAATAGGTGGGAAAAAATACATATATGTACATATATATACCTGTATATATATATATATATATATATATATATATATATATATATATATAATGTTGTGCTAGACAAGTTTACTCTTCGGAATCTATCTTACATATTATTAAGTATACCATTCGTCCATGGTTTGAATACTGCTGCCAAATATGGTCCAGTGCCTCTGATATATATTTAGAGATTCTTGATAAAATCCAAAGAAGAATCTGCAATATTATTCGACCTATCCTGACATCTTGACTTCACTCACTTTCCCCACCACCGTGATGTAGCTTCCCTGTGCTTTTTTCTATAAATACTTTCATGGTAATTGTTTGGACGAACTCTTTGCTTTAATACCTAGATTTTTATGATTTTAAGCACAGTACTAGTTTGGCAACAAGGTCTCATCAATTTTATACTTGACTAGATGCAACCGTAAGTTCTATGCTAACTGTTGTGGTAGGATCCACCTAATTTGCACAGTGGAGTACCGACCATATAAATATGGTTGGTACCGGGAAGATAGGGAGGAATCAAAAGATTCAACCAGAGACTCTGCCCGACTGCGACTCAGTCAACACATTCTCCAGGAACGGTCTTACCAGTAATATACAAAAGACTATATGTAAATATTGTGTACACTTTCTTGTTTCAATACATTTTGTTCTAAGTACATTTTGTGTTGCATTATTATTCCATGCATTAGTCAAGTTTCAACAATAACAGTGAAACTCTCTTCTGGTTCTATGCTTTCCAACCAAATTTGATCTGCAAAAAATTAAATGCAATGTCAATCGTTATTTACTGTCTTCCTAATTCCACTTCTTTTATTGTTCTGGCTCTCTAATAACGTTTAAACTTTTTTTTTATTCTTTCGCACTCAATAACCCCTTGCGTGTTAGTGGCTTTACTACCTTGCTTGGGGTGAAATAATTTTAAAGAAAGTGTTTCTAGTTTACGTATAAGTCGTGTAGTATGTATTTTGAGGGGATAAAATTTGATAGAGCAACTGCTCATTTCAAGAAATTCTCCTTTACTCGAGTAACAACTCGTAGAGCCCGAAATTTACCTTAACCCTGCACTGAATCAGGTGTGACACAAGTTCGCTTTTTAACATGGGGACCCGAGTGTTTCCACTCGGGCCGCCGGTCTAAGCTGCTCATAGCCGGTCATACCACCGCTACGTAGCAGATGTTACGCAACGATGGGGTGGGGAACGTAAGGGAGGGAAGAAGGTGCCGGCTAGGAACAAATACTACATCTGCAGCATCTATTCCGAGGGGGAAAACCCTCTTCTCCTCCTCTGCCAACTTTCCCGGAAGAATTCGGATTGGAGAGCCCGAAATTTGTCTTAACCACCACACACTACTGAGTCAGGTTGTCACACGCGGCACCTTTTTTATATCTAGGTCAAGAAGTTGGTAATTGGCTGAGGTGTGACCCCAAAAATTTACATGACGTTCTCATATATAAACAAGAGGTCACGCGCGCGTTTTCTTTCTTTATTTCTCCGCCGTCGGACACGCGCGACAAGCTGTTGCTTGGTTTAACAAGGTAAGTCGCCATTTTCTTTGCACGTACGAATCTAAGAAACTGTTCAAAATCATAATTTTTTTTTTTTCAATTAATTTTGACCATTTCTAGCAAAGTTAATATAATCAGTTACAATTAAGAATAGTTTTATGAGGTTCAATTTGGTATTTTTTTTTATAATTCCAATTTAGATATACATGTATCGAGTACAAATGATATATATTGTACGATTTGTAATTGTACGGGATATAACGATTCCACACTTCAGAAGTTGGTACGAATACTACGGATGTTGGAGAAGGAAATATTAAGGGGTTTTAGTTGATTTTTGTTGAGCTGGTGTAGTTTCATATTTTTTGGTTGTTTATAGTAAATATATATATATATATATATATATATATATATATATATATATATATATATATATATATATATATATATTTATATATATATATATATATATATATATATGGTTGAGTGATATATAAGGTTGAGTGATACGTAATTTCCAATTCTAATGACGAATGTATCATCCTAAACATTATTTAAATACATGAGGCGATGAAAAATGGGTTGCTTACGACAATGTTCGACGCAAGGCTGCATACAGCAAGAATAACATAGAAAAGAATTTTGGAACTCAATTGGCCCGCTCTGCCCCAATCGCCATATTCACTTATATGGCGGGATGGGTAAAACATACCAACTGATTGCACTATTTTCATTGTTCGGAATATTGTCGCCATCTTCGTTGCTATATTCACGACGTTTCCTCCGTTTTACTATCCGGCCTTCGTCGGGTGATTGGAATTACGGACTAAACCGTTTATTTCATCCGCTGTGGTAGATTGTTCTAGTTCCACGTGTCATATCTTTTCCGGATGGCTCGATATCAATTATCTCACTTTAACTCTACTCTCCAAGTTCTTTTTTGTTGTTGTTCACCATCGCTGTAGCCAGGTATTGAACTCACAACTCTTTGGGTCAAGTCACTGAATTCAACCGATGCTTTTATCCATAGTTCTATGTGTCCTTGAGACATGTCACGCGGAACTAGAATAATCTACCCCGGTGGACGAAATAAAGGGTTTGATTCGAAATGCCAAATATCATCTGAAAATAAAATAATTACAATACCTCATCTCAGAAGTATAGACAGATGTTTCGGTTCGAAATTCCAACGTATATTACCTGAAGAGCGTATAGAATTCCAGTTTTTTTTCTTGTGCCATTCTTGCTACATCCGGTTATTGCTTTGTCATGAAGGACGGCAAAATACATGCATGGCCATAAAATCTTAGCAACAGCCAAGGAGCAGCCCGCTCTCATATTGCATTCGCTTTGGATACAAACTTATCAACCGACAAAAAAGTATTTGATAATGGCATAGGGAAGCGGTCAGAGGAGATTAGAAAAGTCATGTTCAGACTCTGTCCGGAAACTAGAAAAATGGTCCGAACTAAAGAGAAAGCACATTTAAGAAAAGTGAACTTGTAAACAATGACTATTGCAAGACGTTTTGTTAAAAAGAATCGAGTTCTCCCAGTCAGTGGCGTGTTTATCTAAAAATAAGTACGTCCAAATTCATCTACGCCGTGCGCCAATGGCTTAGGTGTAGGGTCTCCGACTGATACCGGGTTTCGGTCGGGTTTCGATGCCGGCTTGAGGCAATCGGATGTTTCCCTACACGGATGAGCTGTAAAACAGCGAAACATTCTGTCTGTGGATGACAACACACACACACACAAACAAAACATATATATATATATATATATATATATATATATATATATATATATATATATATATATATATATATATATATATATATATATATATATATATATATATATATATATATATATATATATATATATATGGATGGATGTATATATGCATGTATGTATGGTTGTGTGTGCTATTATAATATAAAATACATTTTAAATTTTGAGAGGTTCATATATGTGGATGACAACATATATATATATTAATGTATATGCATATATATGTGCATATATATATATACATATAAAATATATATATATATATATATATATATATATGTGCATATATATATATGCATGTATGTATATATATGTATGTCTGTGTCTGCTATTATAATATAAAATACATTTTAAATTTTGAGTGGTTCATATAAACTTTCTAGGCATCTCAACATTTACAACGTGTTGTTAATATACAGAATTAATAATGACAACATTATGATTAATCAATCGTCACATATTTGAGTTCCTTTGAGTTCAAATTCAACAGTGTCTTGTCAGCTGTCGTATATGGCGGACAATCGTTTCAAATTTACGAAGAGTATTTGATGCAAAAAGAAATTTGAGCGTTCCTCTAATACATTGGTATGTAGTGAGCCGCTCGACATCAGTCTTCTTCGTACTGCTGAGAAATAGTGGATTGAGTGACGGATAACAGAGACGCTGTATAGTGTAATTAGTTTATCAGAACAATCAGAATGCAAAAATGAAACTTGGTGGGATGAAAGACCCGTTGGCAAAAGGTCATTGTTGAAAAGCTGTAAACTGACGGAAAGAAGCTATATTAAATTCCTCAAGATTACAACTCGTCCAAACTTCCGGGCAGCATTTCTCTTTCCCATTCTGTAAACATTCCTGTTTTATTTAACTCTGTCTCTTTATCTTTCTATCTGTCTATCGTTTTTTTTCTCTCTCCTCTCCTCAGATACCCATCACAAATTGTCACTTCCGCCATCTTATACCCTCTGCAATTTCATCCGCGATTGTGTCAGGCCACAGACTTATTGATTAGATTTTTTTTTTTTTGTAAAATATTTATTCTCTTTTTACGAGCTCCTCCTCCTCCAAAGGTCTTTCTTGCGCCTATCTGCCATATCTTACCCTCTCCCCGTTTCTAACAAACTCACCTATTTGTTGTCGAATTATATCTTTAATCTTTCTTCTTAGCTGGTTACCGAAACACGTCTTCCTTCACTTTTAAGATCCTTTCTTTGGATGCTTTTCTTTCTATATTTTTACTCTGTTTGCTCTCTGCCAAGTCAAATTCCATTATTTCGTTCTTTCGAAGAAAATACGCTACCTTCTCCTTTCCCTTTCTTTTTCTTTGTCTCACCCATTTCAGATATTTCCTGCAACAACCTCCGCTCTATCCTAACGATAACATTATACCGTCAATAATCCCTACTGTGTACTTCCGAACCCTCTTTTCATCACTATGCAAATCATCTGCAACCCTCGCGCCTTTTTTTAACAATGGAGAGAAACACAGGAGAGTGTTTCCTTTCACCTTATGCTTCCGCAGTTCTTACCTTAGCAACTTCTTTGCACCTCTTTCCCATTCAAACCCATCCTATCTCCCGACCTTCACTCTCAACCTATCAACAGTCCATCTTTTTTTTTATTCTCGGGTCTGGCCTTCCATTTGCTTTAGGTCGTATCTGCTTTGTGCAGATGATATTCCTGAAATCATTTTATGTCTAATCGCAGAAACCTCTGTTTTGCTGTAATGGAACACGTTAAGGATTAGGGATGGTCAGGGTTTTTGTTGGATTCCTGGATCGATGTAGGAAGATGCCCGTTACTATGTAGTAAGCAATACATAGCCAATACCACAAACAGCTTGGCTTCTAGACTAACCACGCTGATATGTTAGCCTTTAATATTTTTTTTAGTCTTTACTTCATTTCTCTTATGAAGTCCTAAGTCCTTTGTGTTACTACTCCTCCTAATCGCCTGAGTATTCCGAATATGTTAATTAGTTAATCTATATAGCGATTTTCCAAGCGTAGATGTGGCCCAAGGCCGAAATTAGGGGGTACCCAGTGAGGATCGAACTCACTACTCAGTCGTAATTGTTCTAGCGAGCCAAGCTTACTAACCATTACGCCGCCTCGAGGTGCCCACCTATTGTTTTTCTAAGCGAGACTTAGATGTGGCACATGGCCGAAAGTATGGGGCACCCAGTGAGGATCGAACTCACTATTCAGTTGTAACAAGCTTGCTAACCATTACACCACGCCGAGGCGCCCAATTAGTTAATCTATATATCACTACAGTTTCTACTTGCTTTTGTGTTAGTTTTCTATATTTTGTTTTAGTCTGAGTAGAACAAATAAACAGCAGTAAATGTATTGGTATATTAGTCATAATTTCATCAGAGTCGTTTTATTATATGTAGGCTGTAAAATGGTAAAATAGTATTAAAAGTTTATGTAGCATTAAGAAAGAAAAGACAAGTTGTAAAGCTCCATAATTTCATCGCTTGGTAAAATTATGGAGTTTTTATGTACCAGGTCCTTTCAGAATGTATCAAAAAGCATAAAATACTACTGAAAGTATAACGCTACGTACAAAATATCTGTAGGTGAAATTATAAAATTAAAATATCTGTCATTGAACGTATAAAATGAAAATATCTGTAGGTGAAATTATAAAATTAAAATATCTGTCATTGAAAGTATAAAATGAAAATATCTGTAGTTGAAAGTATAAAATTAAAATAGCTGTAGTTGAAAGAATAAAATTACGTACAAAATATTTCGATTTCGGCATTAAATAACCCAGACCGCTAAACAAAATTAGCCAACCAACAAAATTCTACTCATTAGTGGATAACCTATCAAACTCTACCAGAATCTTGTATTACATGGTGTTTGAAAAGTATCTCCCTCATTTTAAAATACTTATAATTTATTTATTAACTATAATACTTGCAAGAAATGAATATGAGAGGAAGACATTTAGCATGAGGTTTTATTTAAAATTCGATATGGGTACCAGATTTTAAGCCGGCCAGCAATCGCGTCAACTGATTTTACCAGGAACTCTCGTGGTATGGAAGACATATCTTTTTGTATTCGCCCATCAAATTCTTCCAAATTCATCGTTTGGTATAGCAGACTTACTTCTTTAACCAACCCCAAAGAAAAAGTCACAGGGTGTTAAGTCAGGACTCCTGGCTGGCCGCTCATATATAAAACAGGAAGTTACTTTTCAATCATCCTGTATATTAATGTACAGAATCCCGAACACACACACACACACACAAGCGATATTTTCTTGAATGTAATAGAATTATGCGTTTTCTTATTGTTACAAAAGATATTTTCATTTCCGATTCTACAGAGTGTCGCAAAAGATGTCGCAACAGATTTTGACGCTTATAAATGCGTGGACTTAAGATTTTGTCATCGCATGTTTTCAAATTGATGTCTGTTATGATGCACATATCGCTGACAAGGCGACCCAGTGGAGTCACGTGCAGCAATCAACATTTCGATAGGTTTCTTGGACTTCTGTGAATATTTGCCCTTATTAATTCTTGCTTCACAGGGCGTGGTTGATATCCGTGCTCTTCCAGGATTGTTTCTTGTGCACATCGTGCACTGTACCATAAGCTTCAAACTTATATGTAATTGTCGCCTGATTGTGGATCTGAAGGAAACTCTCATCAATTCCGCCTTTGAACTTCAACTGCATTTTTGTACGTCCATTAGCATTTCAGGATGAACCTCTTTTGTTCAAAGTTAAGCCTGGATAACGTTAGTAATACTAACGTGTAAATCTGAAAAGAAATAATAATAATAATAATAATCTCGAAAAGGTGGCACATGAGAACATCAACAATCCCTGTTGTAGTTGGAACCCTAGGATTGGTTGGAAAAGATTCCAGTAGACTAACTGAAGGGATTCCTGGAAGCCCATGCCTCAGAGAAATAAAAAAAATTGTTCTCACAAGTACAGCCCACACTTTACGGAGGGCTTTATCTATGTAAAATATTCTTTCTTTTTTTGTCAGTGGAAAGCGTCATGATGCCATTTCTAACCTTAGGTCTCTGGGCGCGACCCGGAAAAATGTGTACACGCCAGAAATCAAAGGAAATAATAATAATTATAATAATAATAATAATAATAATAATAATGCATTACGAACATCTTTATGTAATATATGTTTGATCTTTTTTTTTTTCATTTGCAAAAATGATCAGTGGAAAATATCATGATGAGCGTTATGATCCTTGTTTAAAAACAAGGATCATAATATTCATCGAGTGATTTGTAGGTTAATGCATCTTTAAAATTTTGTTTGCGAAAGGATTTCGCCATTTTATATCATTAACTTTACTAATCTACTTTTTGTATGAATGATTCATTGTAATATATATATATTGTGGATCTGAAGGAAACTCTCATCGATTCCGCCTTTGAACTTCAACTGCATTTCCGTACGTCCATTAGCATTTCAGGATGAACCTCTTTTGTTCAAAGTTAAGCCTGGATGACGTTAGTAATACTAACGTGTAAATCTGAAAAGAAATAATAATAATAATAATAATAATAATAATACATAACGAAGAGCATTATCTGTGTAAAATGTGTGCGATCTTTTTCTTCATTTGCAAAAATGATCAGTGGAAAATGTCATGAAGCCATTTCTGATCTTAGGTCTCTGGTTGTGATCCGTAAGGAAAATGATAGCATTGGTTGACCAAATCCTTGTGAGTGAATTTTGGTAGACAAAACAGTTCAGAAGTTGACAATGGTTGTGCTAATGCTAGGGCTAAGTGATTCTGTTTCTACTGTTCAATAGTGACTTCTCTATGGTGTTGAACAGTATAAAACCTAACACAGTGTATCTTAAAAAATGTATACACATTGTGACGCTTTCTGAAGAAATAATCCCAGCAACTATATCTAATTTAAATAATCCATATAAAGACAGTATTTATTATAAATGCATGTTCACAAGCAGCAATCAACATTTCGATAAGTTTCTTGGGCTTCTGTGAAAACTTTCCTTCACTCATTCTTGTTTCATAGGGTGTGGTTGATGTCCGTGCTCTTCCGGGAGGTTTCTTGCACACAACGTGTACACGGTATCATCAGCTTCAAAATTAATTGTCGTCGGATTGCAAGTCACGTGCATGGATCTGAAAGAATCTCCCATGCTATCATTTGCCTCTGTTATGAACCAGGTCCCTTCAGGTCGTAAAGAATAATGGCCCTCCACAACTTCCTATTCTTTATAGCTCTATGCAATATTTTATCTCCTTTTCATCCTTCCAAATTGTTTCGCCATCCATTAATACAAGCTCGTTAGGTATCTTACAGTTTCCTGCTTGCCTTCAGCATGTCCTGTGAGTATCAGATTCTTTAAGCCTCCTTTCCTCATGATGTGACCTAGATATTTTTACTGTCATTTTCTGATCCGAAGTGCAGTTTTGCTTCTATTTTCCCTCTTTGTTGCTCACACGCGCTGTCTATAGGATTCTCAGTATCTTGCTTTAAAACGACACCTTTAGTCTCCTATTAATCCGTGCGGAAATTGTCCAGCATTCACAGCCATAGACGAGGACTGATATTACACGTCAGTTCAGAACTCTTGTCTTTGTTTCTAACGAAAGTTTATAATCTCATAATACTTTTTGTTTAGCTTTTTAGAAGGTACCTTTTGTTGTTCATGATGACGGTCGTATAGAATCCAGAGGTTAGCAGTGAATATTTCGAAGACAGTAGGGAAGCGTTGTTCAGATTGGCAGTGGATATCCCGGTAAAGTAGCAGAGCGTAGTTCAGTAGTTCTTCCTTTTGTTTTTTCGCCTGACTAGTTGGCACTGGACATTCAGAGAGAGTAAACAAAATGGCCGCCTTTGTACACGACGGATTGAATATTCTACGTCTTCTGATTGGTTAACCTTCTATTGGTGGACTATAAAGAGAGTCAAGTCATTTGGGCTAGCTCACTAGTACATATATATACACACAAAAAAACTGCAGCACCTTTCCAATGTGCCTTCGGATTTATTTGCCACATTTTCTGTCGCCTGTAAAAAGACTCCCTAGGTAGTTTAATTTCCACAGTTGCTTAATTTTGACATCACCATTTCGTAACTGGCTATTCTTCTTGCTAACGACAGTACACTGTTTGCTTATAATTGATATTTAGTTCTTTCTTTCATTATTTTCTTTACTACAAAGTTCCTACATTTTTTTTCCTGTGTCTGCCATCAAGACGTTGCCATTTTCGTATCTTATGTTAATATTATATATCCAACAATAATAAATCCTGGCAGGACATCTAATTCTCTTAGGATCGTCTAGGTCAGTGGTACCCAAACGGTGCGGCGAACCTTATATGTGCAGCGGAAGAGGATAGCAGGTGAGGCGGAATGCTTGAAAGACAATCAAAGATTTAGAAACAGTTTAAAAATATCTTTATATACCAAAAATAAATATGATTTCAAATTTTAAAATATTATTACGGATTACTTGTAATTACATGCATGTGTCCCGGTATAAAAAGTTATAAATGATTATTAAACGATTTTATCATTGTGATATTTCTGCATTGTATCAAGTATTAAGAATATAGTAACTAGAGTCTGCAAATTGGAGGATAGAGTTATCATAGATAATATTCTGACTTTGAATCCGCGGTTATCTCCCTTTATTCCTCTCTCTCCCTTTAACCCTCTCTCTCTCTCTCTCTCTCTCTCTCTCTCTCTCTCTCTCCCTCTCTCTCTCTTTGGTCTTTCTTTGCTGTAGGGGTGCTTGCGCATACTCACCAGGACTTCCCTCTGGTAAGGCCAGAGAACATTTTAATTCCGAAAATGCGGCACAGAGAAAATATTTGAGTACCACTGGTCTAGGTTTAATAAACCCATTGAGAAACAACCTAATACATCTAGCCACCTTCGGAGTAAAAGAAGATTTGTAAAGCACTCAGTGTGGATCGAAGCCGCCATTAAACATCTACCAGACCAGTAGCCTAGATATCGCTCTCTACAATAGGTACTCTAATAAGCAATATGTGGTACCGGACCTCACCGACCTATCTGCCTTTTCTTCATCTCTCTTCTCCTTTCCTCGCCACCCCAACTTGTTAATTCACGTGTGTCTGTTTGGTCAGTGGTTGATTCTTGGATCATGAATTCGGTCAGACTTTCATCGATCATATTTGGCCGGGAGTGCCACTCCCGACAACCGACGGTTTACTATTTTTAGTCCGAATTGGGATGGTTTTGAGCAAAATCATCTTTCTTATCGATTAATAGCCAACAAAAGACAAAGAATGCATCCTGCCCTGATATTAAGCCCATCGTTGGATTCATACCTTTTCCAATTGCCCAAAGTGAACGCAAATGTCTCTGCTGGGATTTGAACTTGGCTTGTTCATTTCATTTCCGTGTTGCTAACGACAACGCGACCCGCGTTCCTGTCCGACATTCTTCCATTTAAAAAAAAATGCAGGAACTACACTTAGGCAGAAATATTTGATGGAATTATGAGAATTTTACGGTCCTTCCACACCCACTATTGGCACTAACTGAACAGGAACAAAGCGGCATGGCCAGACGGAATTGTAATAGAGATGCTGGCAACCTTAGATGATTTCGGCATAGACAAGATTACAGAAATAATAAATGAAATCTACAATAGTGGCGATATAACAGAAGACATAATGAGATCTCTTTTCCTAGCACTGCCTCAAAAACTAGGTACAAACGAATATGAACTCCATCAGCCCAATGAGCCATATAACAAAATCCATCATCTAAATTCTGATGAATATAGCACGCAGCAAAATCAGACCGGAGATAGGACAAGAACAGCGCGGGTTCGTCAAAGACACTGGAACAAGAAATGCGATATTTTTTGCACAGAATATTATCAGAAAGAGCAATACAAATGCAGAATGGCGTGTACCTATGTTTTATAGATTACGCAAAGGCATTCGATAAAGTACGCCATAAAGATTTGTTGGAACTGCTCAGCAACGTTGACATATTTGAAAAGGATATTAAAATAATCAAGAACGTATACTGGCAACAAACCGCCTACATACGAATAGAAAATGAGTTCATGTATGTAGAAATAGAAAGGCGTGTAAGACAAGGATGTGTCTTCTCGCCGGACTTACTCAACGTATACATTGAGAGGCAATTCTGAGAGAATTAGATTCCCTACCAGGATTTATTATTGGCGGCCCCAATATTAAGAACATAAGATATGCAGATGACACTGTTGATAGCAGACATGGAAAGAAAACTACAAAAGCGCCTACAGAAAGGTAGTGAAGGAAAGCGAGAAGAAAGGACTAAACATCAACTGCAAGACAGAATGCGTAGTTGTTAGCAAAAGGGACAGCCCAAAATGTAAATTACAAATTGGAGATACCAAAATGAAACAAGTACAAAAATTTAAAAGTGTTTTAACAGAGAACAGAAAGTGTGACACTGAAATCTGAAGAGACGGCCCAGAATTCAAATTCTAAATTGGAGATACCAAAATCAAATAAGTAAAAACATTTAAATATCTGGGAAGTGTTTTAACAGTGGACAGAAAGTGCGATAGCCAAAGATAGATTCCAAAAGCTAAACATAATATTGAGAAACAGAAAAACTTCATTAAAAACAAATAAAAGATTAATGAACTGTTATGTGATATCTGTCCTCCAACTAAACATCACTTGCAAGAAAAGAGAATGCATGGTTGTTAGCAAAAGGGGTGAGTCCAAAATGCAAATTACAAATCGGAGATACCAAAATCAAATAAGTACAAAAATGTAAATATCTGGAAAGTGTTTTAAAAGACGACGGAATGTATGACACTGAAATCTAAAGGGACAGTCCAAAATGCAAATTACAAATTAGGAAAACCAAAATTAAACAAGTACAAAAATTTAAATACCTGGGAAATGTTCTAACATAGAAAGGAATAGTCTGACACTGAAATCCGAAGACATATTGGGATGGCCAAAGATGCAATTCCAAAAGCCAAGCAGAGTATTAAGAGACAGAAAAAAAACTTCATTAGAAACAAAGAAAAGAGTACTGAACTGTTATGTGATATCTGTCTTCCTGTATGGCAGTGTCTTGTGATGTCAACGAACACTCGTTGCTACTTTTGTAATGTCAACGAATACTAGTTGTCACTTTCGCTATGCTCGTTGTAGAAGAGACTTTGTAATCGCAGATACAAATATGGTAACGCCGTTGAACAATACTGATGTCAGACGCCTTCGAATAACACTCGCACTAATAGTACTTGCTCGATAACACTTTAATAGTGATCCGAATAGTAATCCGTATAGTGAGATATTCACTAACCGCCCCCGCAGTCGGATGTGGCACAAGGCCAAGTTTATAGAGGGGTATGCGAATGCGTAGGCTAAGTCAAAAAATTCCCCGTTGACCCCGTAAAAAACGTGCTCGTTTAGACGTCTACCACCCCTGACGAGACTCTGCTCGTCGACATAGCCTTGTCTGGGGATTCTCTCTGACCAAAGGCAGAGAGTTTGACAAGCACACTTCCGAAGTAATCCGGATAGTGAGATAATCACCTACCGCAACACGCGACCGAATGTGACACAAGGCCAAGTTTATTGTGGGGTATCCCAGCCCGTAGGCTCGGTCAAAAATTACCCGAAGACCCCGTAAAAACGGAGTCGAGTAGCTATCTCCCAGACGTAGCCTCGTCTATGTTCCTCTCTCCCCGGAGGCAGAAATTTCGACCAGCAAACCTCCGAAGTAATCCTGATAGTGATCACTTAGACGCAAAGCTAATTCCCATATATACGTTTCCTTTACCATCATGTAATCTACTTATTGTAAATGGGATCGCTTGTGTTTGCTCTCTGGTGGTCTGTGTTCAAACCCCAGTGTCGGCAGCGACACTTTATTCCTATATAACACAGCGAATTTGGACAATCTCTTCAAAGATTAGGAAGAGTTTTAAGGCAACAGAAATGTAGTTTTACAAAAGAATGCTGAGGATACCATGGACCAAACATGTGAGCGCCGGAAACGGAGACTTATACTTAACATCAGGAAGAGACAGTTGACATTTCTGGGGGATGTAATGAGAAAGGAGGGCTTGGAAAAGCTGATACTCACAGGACAGATAGAGAGCAAGAGGGACAGAGGAAAACAACGGACAGTATACTTGATGAGCTTAAATAAAGCAAGATCTAGGAGAAATAACGAAAAGATAACACTTTTAAGAGCTATAAAGGACAAGAAATAGTGGAGGTCCATGACCGTCTAGATCCGGAAAGGACATGGCTCAAGAAGAAGAAGAAGAAGAATTGGCAGTATCAGAAGGCACATCGGAATAGCGAAAGGAGCCTTCTAGAAACTCACCAAAGTATTAAGACATTGGAAAATTTCGATACAGACAAACAAGTGCCGAAAAGCTACGCCTTTATCTATAAAAGGCTAGATGTGTGTGTGTGTGTGTGTGTGTGTGTGTGTGTGTAACGAATGCACGGTCGCAATTTTCGACGGATTTACACCAAAATTCATATGCACATGCTCCAAGTTAGTGGGAAGGCCAAGACTGACTTTGCATTTCCCAACTCCTATCGATAGTGGAAATAATCGATTTTTCATGCTTCTGCGGCAGTTTTCATGTAGTTTGCTGTCATATTCTACTGGCCAGAGTGAGAGCCTATAGCTGACTTCCACGAATAGGCAGGAAGATTCTATTGGCCAGCGTGAGAGCCAACAGGTGACTGACACAAATATCGATAGCTGCATTCGTCACAAGTGGGAAAAATTTAAATCTGCATGGCACTTTACTCCAATTGGCTCATTCGCTTGCTTAAACTCAACGTTGATTCTGATTCCACAGAACTGGTTTGGGTGTGAAAAAGTATTTGTTGTTAACATTCTTTTTTCATTCGGTTTTTCCAGTTACGAGTCCCTTTTTAAAGCTGATCGTTTTGTGTTCATTTTGTTTAGTTCTTTTTTCGTAAAAGATTTAATGTTTAGTATAGAGCTTAGAAAAAATTCGGAGTGTGAGATAGGCAAGAAGTAAGGCATGTAGCAACATCAGCACGGCAAAGGGCACTCTTTTAAAGGCAAAAAAGGGCAAAAATATTTTAAGTCAAGTGATAGCGGTTACTGTATGAGTCGTACGATTTTTGAATCAAGCACGGGCAACGCCGGGCCATGCTGCTAGTCTACCGATATGACAATGAATGGTGGGCAATTTCATTATAAATGAATAAGTAACAGAGATACGGTCCTGCACACGGATCCTGATAATACCATGGACTGAACTCGTGAGCAATAAGGAATTTCTTAATAGAACTGGAATTAGAAAGACATGAGGAAAACATGAGGAAGGACGGTTTGGGAAATGTAATACAGACATGGCGTATTGAAGGCAGAAGGGAGTCAAAATAAACAGTGAACAATTTAATGGCAGTGCAGGGACAAGGACGGGTGGTTTACATTATTTACATTTTTTGGACTGTTGTCCTCATCTTTATTGCCATATTCACGACGTTTCGGCCGTTGTACGTTCCGGCCTTCTTCAGGTGATTCGAATTTCGAATTTTTGTTCCCCTCGGCTGTAGCCAGGTATTGAACTCACAACTCTTTATGTTAAGTCACTGGATCTAACCAACGCTTTTATTCAAAACAAAAAACAAAAAAAAAACAGTTGAGTTAAAGAAATCTGAGACATCCTGAAGAGGCACAGCACGTGGAACTAGAACAATCTACGCTGGTGAACGAAATAGAGGGTTCAGTTTGAAATTTCAATCACCTGAAGAAGACCGGAGCGTACAACGGCAGAAACGTCGTGAATGTGGCAATAAACATATGGACAACAAGTCCTAAGACAGATATTGAAGGACGGATGGTATATAGTTCAAAATGTTTGATATTCAATGGATAGAAATCGTGAAGAGCCATAACCACCACCCACAACCTGAAATGACAAAGCACATAAATGATGATTATTTATATATTTAAGTGCATTCACTTCGATCTTACATTACAAATGGCCTTTTTGTCTTCTGGTTTTTCCACTGGGGTTTTCACCGTAGTTGTCAAATCCGTACACGCGTGACGACTTAGCCGTATATATATATATATATATATATATATATATATAT